GACGTATAACCACCATACCGCCTGATACGTCACTCTGTCACTGCTGTGAGAAAAAATACATACCATCACAGCCCTAGAAACGGCACTTCAGAATAAAAGCTCTGTGATGGATATTCACTGCACTTCAAAATAAAGTGTGTTTTTTACAAACTTGACACATTAGCGAGTCACTTGCGGTCCAGTGTTTAGGTCTAGTTGGGAACCACTGGTCTAGAAGCCACAAAATGTAGCAATTTAGCAAGCTAGTGAGCGGGTAACGTAATACAGGAAATGCAAAAGCATATGACAGAGGAAAAAGATTTAGAAATTGAGAATATCAACATTTACCTGTAACATAATACAAAAAAGACAAAGTAAAGCAAAGAAAAACTCAATACAACTTACCATCCACCAAAAAATAAACTTCTGTGGTCTCCATTTCTGAAAACATCAGCAAACGTGTTGCAACTCTTAAACTCTGAACTTTCAGAAAATGTCCACTTACACTACAAAAGGGGGACATTCATGTGGACTTGTCTCGTGAACAGTAAACACAACCCTATATAAAGGCAGCATATGTGCCAGATGAGTTGCTGGACTTTATGCTAAGCTAAGCTAACTGGCTGCTGCCTCCAGCTACATATTTACTGTACATACACGAGACTGGAATCAAGTTCTCGACTAATTCTTTGCAAGAAACCAAAATGTCAAATGGTGTCTTTGATGTCCAAAAGAGATTTCTATGAATGCATTTGACTTAAAAACAGAATTGAGTGACCAATAACATTACATTTCATTACAGTAGTTATATATTTTCCTCCTTTTATCTTCATCCCAGGAGTAACGTCTTCCAGTGTCACAATATAGGCTCACACTGACATACATATAATACATCTGTGTATGTTACCTCTTGGTCTCGGTTTTCTCTGCCATCCCCACTTCCACCTTCACACAGGATGCTCCTGAGTCCCACCACTGGGTGATAAATGTCACACACGTAATACACACAAGCTGGCGAGCACGCATGACACGACACATGTGTGTCGAGGCCACTCTCTCTGTATTGCTCAAAGTAACTGGAAGATGGAGCCGGACGGAGATTTGTGGGGCAGTGTCCTTTGTGCTCAAAGACGCAGGACAAGAAAGAATCATAAATTGGGACCGGTGCATGACGGTTGAGGTGCACTATACGACTGCCATGGATAGGTGACTATTTATGGTCTGAAACATGACATTTCTGCTGCATCAGCTAACGTTGTGGGCAAATATAAAACCGAGGACATACTGCGTGCTATCCGGAAAAGGGTTATGGACTTATTTTACATGTCGTTTGATTTTACTGCTGTAGCACATATACAGATTGTCTTTCTTTATCGGTCGACATAGAGATTAAATAATACGCTGTATCACGGACATTAAAGCAGAATCCAACCTCCGTTACAAATGTCTGTAAGTAAGAGTCCAATCAGCCAATCAGTCTGCCACCTTTCAAGTTTTATGTGTAGTCAGTAAAGCAGCCCGCCTCAGCTTTGGTCTTGGCCTTGGCTGTTTGCAGTCATGATGAAAATGTTTGATCTTGATATAGAGCGCAGTGTAAAACCCTGGGGAAAGCCTCCATGATGCTGAACCAATAGAGTAGAGATTATGTAAGTGTAGTGTTGTTTAATTTGCAGCATGCAAACTGAGAGGGACAAAATAAATCCATCCATGGTGCTATATTTTGTGTGTGTTGCGGTGGGTGTTGTGGGTGGATGTTCCTTAGCCTATAGGATCCACGCTTGGTGGAGATGGAGATGCTAGAGAAGGGTGAGAGGATTTATTGCCTAGCATTAGGAGCACTAATCTGTTGCAGGTGTTTCTGGCTGTTCTCCCGGGCCATGCCTGCTCTCCTCCCCGGGAGGCCCCACCATATTTGTGTGTGTGTGTGACAGAGAAAGAGACAGAAGGAGCGAGAGGAGTTCTTTCCACGGCATGTGCGGGGAGATTATACCATCTCTACAACCCTCTCAAATCATCAAGACTGTCAAGATAAGGACAAAGAGAACATGAAGTCCTTTGACACCCCTCCATCAGTCACATCAATCAAGAGACCACAAAGCAAGGTGCAAGAGAACTGCAAAAACTTTGATAATAAAGAATCAAGGCCACTTCCTGCCCAGGGAGCGTCATTTATATGCAGGAGAAAGTGCGCTTCATTTTGTTTCTCAACTTTTCAAGTAACACTACAGTTTTCAGCGAGGCATTTGGTTTTGATAGTGACAACTCACTCTGGGTATACAGTAGAAACCCACTTTATCAGCAGGGTACAACCTCTGGGGTGTATTACACTGATGAAAAGACCACCAGGATGGATTGAGCCAACAGCTTCACAGGAAGCCTGCAGTGCTTTTGAGGGATGATGAACAAAGACACAAAGGAACCCACTGAGAAAGTCCTGCTCTGTAGGAAGTCTGCAACGCCTACTGTGGCCGGCAATAGAGAGACGGAACTGAGTGAAATAGAGAAGAATGGAGATGGAGGGGAATCCAGGGGTGGAGAACAGAGAAGACAGGAAAGGGAACAGGGAGGGCAAGGATTGATATGGTGATGGAGGGTGTAGAAAAAAACCAGGTTGTTCAATCTGTGTGAACATATGGGAAACAAATACTTTGGTGTTTAAGATAAACCAATTCAAACCAATTTACGTGAGTCTGCTATCAAGGATTTTTCTTAACAGGGAATAGCCCTCACAGGCTGCTGTAGAAACGTGAAGTCATCTCACTTTACTTCTTTGGCACTACTGCCCTCATGTGGACAATCCAAGTAACATCTCATCCAGATTAATGTCTCCTTTTCAAGAGGTATTGAGTATGTATTAAAGTGTGTTGTTAAAATCACAAGTCTCCACCTCACCAGCACCACCTGCACTCCTGATTAGACCACTCCCCCAAGACTATAAAACTCCACCCTTCACGCCTGCGACTCGCCTTTTTCCCTCCAAACATACCTGGTGGAACAAAGAGAGGACTGATGTGAGTGTATATGTACTTTTCACACTTATGACTTACTTTGTTGTGTTTATTGTTCGAAGATTCCTGAGTTTAAACTGTTGGTAAAAGAAGAAAAAAGAGTAATGCATTTATGACATAACTGATACCTAATTTAATCATATTATTTTCAGTAATATTATTGTTTAACATAATGCAGAGTGTTAACATTTTCTTTGAATATTCCTTGTTATAGAAAAAAATCATCCGACAACTACCAACTGGTCAACTACCCTGTCTGTAATAAAATGTTGAAACGGCTCCCTGGGTCCTTTGCGTTCAAATGTGCACCCCATCATCAGATGTTCTGTGAGCCAGCAGTATAGTGTATTACTGCATGTTTTGATTACAGATTAATTAAATGCAAATATAATTAGTCAAAGACTGTTCTTTTGGACCTCAATGACACTGTTTATGAGGTGTCCTGTTGGTCTAGTTTGACTATTCAAAGGTCCAGAGTGTAGGATGTAGGGGAACATATTGGCAGAAATGGAATATAATATAGACACCTAAGTTTTTAGGTGTATAATCCCCTTTAAATAATATTTGTTGTGTTTTCATTACCTTAGAATGAGCCAATTTTAGGGAGGGGCTCATCATCCACGAAGATTGTCATATCGCACCGCCATGTTTCTACAGTAGATCAGAACGAACAAACCATACACTGGCTCTAGATCTGGCCATTGGCGTTTTTGCATCAGCCACTGTAGTTAGCATCCCCTCGGCAACAAGAGAACAACACTGATTTTTTTTAACATTAAACTTATTTATTCTGTGTTTTTATGGCTTTAAATCACCAGGTCTGTTTGATTTGGAGAGGACGAGACCTCTGGATAATTCAACTCCTGGTTAAAGCCTCCTGAACGCTGGATCTTAAGTTATGCTAAGAAAGGTGAGCATACATTAGCAGGTGCTGGGATAATAGCCTGTCTCTGACATGGCAAATAGCGTTGAAGACATTTGTGATGTGAAACAGCTACACTCTGTTTTTACTGGTTAAAATCACTGGGCCTGTTAGTTTTGGATAGGAGGAGAATTTGGTTCCCGATAGAATTTCCTTAACTTCTGGATCAGAAATTAGGTGAGTACACATTAAGTTATCACAGAAAAAAGGTCAAAACACATCGCAGGCGCTGGACGAGCGACCCATCTGTGATGTGCTGAACTGCACAGGAGAAACAGATTTGTCACATGAAACTGCTTTGGTTTTAATCACCTGGTCCATTTGTTTTGGATATGAAGAGACCTCTGCAGATAATTTAGCTCCTGGTAAAAACCTCTGGAACAATGAACACTGAATGAATTCTAATTGGGAAAAGTTTCATTCATGTTATCGTGTCAACCAACATAGTAAGCAGCCCCTGTACGAGTAGTGTTGGAAAAACAGATTTTTTAATGTAAAACCTGCTTTATTTTGTGTTTTTACTTGAGTGAAAAAGACCTCTTCGGATAATTTAGCTCCTGTTAAAAACCAAATGAACAACTGGATCTTTAGTTATCATAGAAAAATGGTGAGCGCACATAGCGGGTGTTGGGTGAGTGGCCCATATGCGGCAGGCCAAATAGCAGAAGAAACATTGATTGTTAATGTGAAATGGCTTAACTCAGTGTTTTTACTGGTTTAAATACCTGGGTCAGTTTGTTTTGGAGAGGAAGAGCCCTCTGCAGATAATTTGGCTCCTGGTAGAAACCTCCTTAGCAATGAACACTGAAGGAATCTTAAATGGGGGTTCATGCTTGACACATAGAAGTTACAGCTTGTTGCAATCTGCAATCCTCACCACTAGATGCCAATAAATCCCACACACTGCTCATTTAAGACTGTACAAACATCTTAAGTTTGATTCCAGCCAGGTAACATTTGTTGCAGATCATTCCCACCCTTTCTCCCCTCTTCTCTCCTGTCAAATCTTGACCGCTGATTTTTAAATTAGGGCAAAAATACCTCCCAAAATTCTTTAAAGTGTTTCACAAGCAAGAGAAATACAGTGTGAATGGAGGAAATGTGTTTTTATTTATTTTCACCACAGAATTGCAGTAACGTGAAAAGTTATATCCTCTGCTCCTCAGCAGCTTCCTTTTCCTGACTCGTCTCTCAGGCAGTATGTTCTCCTACTGTGCACTGCCCCCTGTGTTGTATTCTGAGTAGTAAACCAGGTGGATTTTTATTTTATTTCCACCTGTGCACATAGGAAATAATTATTTTTAAATGTCTCCGAGGTGGCCAAAATGAAGCAAACCCAAGCTGTAAGTCTATCATTAGGAATGGACCTCTCTCAAAAGCAAGATGAGGACAAAAGGACATGGTGTAGTCCGTTTTATTGTAACAATATTGTAACCGGATCCATTTAGCTGTTAGTAAAATTATTTTCCAACTGGAAAGTGAAAGATTGCCACTAGAAGTCTGGATATGCTAGAAATTTAAGGCTAAATCTAGGTAGTGGAATATATCAATTGCCCATTTCATGGGCTGTATTTGTAGGAGTTCTGGATGACATAGTTTGTCATGGAAGGGATCCAGTCTTTAGTCAGAGTCACAATGTGGGTGAACCAAGGGTAGAAGAGCTCCGGCTGTCTCGTAGCTCCTGTTTTGATGATGTTCAATGCTGCGTCTGAGGCAGGGTAGGCTGGTACACTGGTGACTCCCCTAGGACACAGAAAAATACTGCTCTTAAGTGCTGTTGGTGGTGAAAATAACCAGTATCAACTCTGCATTTAGACTTAGAAATACTCCACGTTTGCTCGACTGACCTGACTTTTTCCATAGCTGAATCAGTATCAATGAGTCCCAGTGTACATAAAGAGATGGACACATTGCTCTTCTTCATCGCCAGTTCGTGTCCGAGGGCCCCGAAGAAACCATTCAAGGCAAATTTTGTTGAGGTATACGGTGCTACGAAGGGACTGGGCATTTTACCTGTGGAGCATCACTAACTATTAGAGTCATGTTTTCCAAAACACATTTGTCATATGTAAAACATGAAAATCTAATGTGGCCGTTTGAGGCCTCATTTATGACACGTTTATACTCACAGATTTGATCTTAAAGGGACAGTTCACCCCAGAATAAAAATATATATTTTTACTCTTACCTGTGTTATTTATCGAACTAGATTGTTTTGGTGTGAGATGCAGAGTGTAGAGATGTCTGCCTTCTCTTTGATATAATGGAACTAGAGTGCACTTGGGAGTGAACTGACCCTTTAAGTAGTGCATGTACAAATTAGGAACCTTTGTGATTTATCAGTGCTTCCAAAATGTTTATAAGTCAGAACAGAGTTTCCTGGTGGATTTAGTTTTTCTTTTTTGGATGAAATCTTCTTATAAACTCATCTAACGACCACAAATCCCTACAATGGTTTTTGAAGTTTTGTAGTTCACGAAATAGCAAATAAACCGCAAATGACGCATCAGGAAAATACAGAATATAAAATAACTACAATTGATTTGGCATTTAGCACCACTATTCCTTGAAGTCCTGAGAGAAAAAAATGAAAATTTAAACATCTACAATTCCATGACTGTTGATGAAGATCATGTGATGTTGTTAATAACATCTACTAAATGGATGTTGAGGTGAGCTTAACATTTTTTTTATCATGTTTTCATGACGTGGTCAAAGTATTTTTTCTTTTCTTTCCTTTAGAAAGCACTTTGTAACTTGGTTATGAAAAAGTGATGTGCAAAGGAAGAATAATGAGGCCAAATGATACATCATTTTTGATTCATAGGTCAAAACATTTGCATTTAATAAAATATGTATGTATATGTTTCATAGATTGCTTTCAAACTACCAACGTGTACAAAAATGATGACAGACAGACTTACCTAAAATTGATGAAACAACCACCAGTGATCCTTTGCTTCGCTCAAGGGCAGCCAGAGCTTTCCAGGTCATCTGAATGTAGCTGAAGAAATTGACCTTTCGCAAACACACACACACACACACACACACACACACACACACATTTTCCAACATCAGTGTATTTGCTATATTGTGTGTTGATAGGCCATTCATTTGCTGCACTACCTTCATCAGCCACTTGGTGTGCTCCACATCTCCCTCCCACATGCTGAAGGGGCTCGGGCCGATGTGGTTGAGAACCAGATAATCCAACCCTCTGAGCTTTTCCAGAGCAAAATCTACAGCTTTGTCAGGGTCTGACTCATTGGACATGTCTGCAGCTATGTAGAGAGCCTTCTGGGCTCCCAAACTCAGACACTTCTCTGCAACCTGTAAGCAAAGAACAGAAAGAATGGATCCAGTGTGGTTGCAGAAAAGAGTTTAGGAAACAAGCCAGAAACAATGTTGCATAATATGATGGATACAGAACAGAAATATTAGCACTTGTTGTTTCATACATTTATTGGTTTAAACTTTCAGTCCATTCTTTATGTTGCTAAGTTCACTGACCTGCTGTAACACTTTCTCCCTCCTCGCTGTAATTACTATCTGGGCTCCAAAGCAGGCATAGTGATATGCCATTTGTTCACCAATACCCGTACTGGCTCCCGTCACCAGCACTCTGGCACCTCTAAGAGATTCTGAAAGACATAAGAAACACACAAAAACAACGTTTTGAAAGTGATTTGATGACTGAATGTTACCTCAAATCAAATCTGTAAAACCAGTGTACCCATTCTATAGATTTATTATTGTGTCAAGAATCATTTACTTTCAAGACCTCACCCCTTTGCCTTTAATGCACCTTCATGTTAACCTGTATGAGAGAGTATTACAATGTGGTTTGGCTAACCAGAGTGATCGACCTTTCAGGAGACAGGGGCCCTCAGATTGACGCATTTAGGATCACCAACCCACCATAACAGTGTAGTTCTCTGATTATCAAAAAGCTAACAAGGCTATCCATAATTTACTTTTAATCCAAAATATTTAAAAATGAACATACAGTGATTTTATGTCCTTAAACCACACACAAAAATCCTGACTTTTTCGCCCTCATTTTTTGATATGAACACTGGATATAAAGTCTGCTGCTGCTCGACCCAAAATGAAAACTTCAGGAGATGTAAAGAAACAATAAGATATTAAAGAATAGGAAGAAAAAGGAGTTAAGCAACATATTCTCACTCCGACCTCATCACATAGCGACATTCATGGACTTTCCATGTCCAGATAAGATGTGAAAGGTACCCTGGGTGCGTTGGTTGGTGACGTCCTGGGACACTGTGTCAAGTTCTGTCTGTCACATGCATTGTCTTTTTTCAAAATACACTTACGGTTTCACAAGAAATGTACCATTTACATACAGTCTTCTTCAAAATAAATGCACTACATTGATACAACTGAACTGACTTTTTTTTTCCTTCAACAACACACACAATGGTTGGGTTTTGCCAACACACACGGTTGGGTTTAGGCAACAAAAGGTGAAAATCTGTGGTTGCTGGACCCATCCACCATCCGTTCTGCCCACCTTATTTGGACTTTTGCCGCCTTAACCTTGTTCTTGTCACACCATGTTTTCCCCTGGCACTGCCATGTGCCATTAAACAATAACAGCACCCAGCTTTATATCATGCCTACGTGAAAGGACGGCTTTGTTGCATTGGTGTCTGACGCCAGAAGTCACTGCCCAAGCACCAGATTTGACAATTGGGTTGAGATAACATTTTCAGATTAAGGGGGACCTTTTATTCCCATTTTCAGGTTGGTACTGTTTGTATTTTGGGTACTTTATCTTTACTTTATTTTCCTCACACTGTCTGTGCTAGAACACCTGTATTCTCTGTCTGAGATGCTGTGTTTAAGCACCTGTCTCTTTAAGCCGCCCTCCCGAAAAAAGCCCTGCTTGATTGGTCACGTGAGACTTGGGCTCACAGGGATTACTTTTACTAGTGGTTGGTCATTCAGGTTAATGTTGTAACTCTCTCTCATAAAGGTTGAAATGCAGGAAAAGATGTGTTCAAATTGAAAGGGGTGTGGTCAGAACTGATACTGATTTCTGAGGGAATGCCCCCAAACCAGGGGAGTAAATATAGACGGACGTGCATTACAGTTGCACCGGGGCACATGGGGTGGAGGGGCCTAATTGCCACCTGGAAATATGCCCATGTTCAAAGAAGAACTCACAATGAATCAAAGATGGTGCGATTTTCTATATATGCCCTCAAAGGTGCAAAATCTCTTAAGACTGACAAGCTGGGCACATCTGCAAGTGGATATAACATAAAAGCAGCATTAAGACACACTGTTGGTGAAATAAATATACGCCTAAAACTCTGTGTGTGTGTACTTCATAGCTAGTAACTAGGGCGCACTAGGGCCCGTCATAATAACGGGTCCATGTCATTGGTTCGACAGCCCATTAGTCCGACTGTCTGGTGGCTGGCTTATGTGTTTGTCACTTTCTTTTTCATTTTAACGGACACCATGATCTTTTCCTGACCCTAACCAAGTGGTTTTTGTGCCTAAACCTAACCAGACCTTAACCACAGGGCATCATGATGATTTCGGAGCGGACTTCGGAACAATGAGTTTAATATGGTCGGAACAATGGGCTGTCGAACCAATGGGCAGTTCCCATAATAACTACCTTACACCACTGCCCCAAACTCTCCATTAGTTGATGTCACTGCCGGACCTAGCACATTAGACATTAGACTCTTTCTTCTTCTGTTATTTCCATTTATTGCAGAGATAACAGGCAAAACTTTACTTCCAGGACAATACGCAGAGTGCATCTAGAATAAATCACAAACATCCATTCACCATTTGTAAGATGCAGTCATATAAAAAGTTAAAATACTATCCTCGTTAAGATGTAGTGTCAGCCGTGGTAGTAGCTTTTCATAAGGTGACATAAGGTTCCAATTGTTGAAACACACACTACCCCATTGACTCAAACCAGATCATTTCATTACCCGTGGAAACACTGCTTCCTCACAGAAAATATAAATGCAGGGTTCTCTTCCTGGTAAGGGCCTCAGTCACAAGCGGAAAGCATGTCAGATTATCACCAATTGCTCACTCAATTCTGTCTGTGCCTCTTCTCCTAAACGTCCCCAGGGGAGCCTTTAACTTTCATCCTCATTACTTTTATACACAGATATTTTGAGCAATGCAGAGCAGTCACGTGATAAGTTTTCATGCTCCATATTCAAATGTGGAGCGTGTAGTTGAGGCCGCCTGGTCCCGATTATGTGGTGGAGCCTGTAGACTATGATGTGATGGGGCAGTATATAGAGTTTGCTTATCAAAGATGTTTAACATTTTAATATATTGAATACTTTTGTTTATGTAAAATAGAGACTAGTTACAGGAATATTACACTTAGACACTCCTCAGTTTCCTGTGCCACATTCCAGCAATATATCAATACAATATTGATCTTGTGATAGGGATTAGATATGATATGGTGATCATAATGTTGTTTATTGGCCTGAGTTTATATTTTAGAAATGTCAGAAAGAACAAATATCAGTCTTTCATACTTTGCCCCATTTCTAGGTCAGGCCAGGCTGTCCTTTATCACACTGAAACATGTGCCAACTTGTCAGATTTAACCGTAATTAACCTTGAGCCACATACAACAGATTCAAGTTCAACGGTGACGTAGCATAAGGGTGCGAAATTCCCACCTTGAAGAGGCAGTATAAAAGGGGCTCATATCTGAACACTCCAAAACAAATATTTTTTCATTTTCCATAACCGCTTATCCTATCCTATCCTTATCCTATTGGGGGTCACAGGGGGCTGGAGCCTATCCCTGGCATCCAGTGGTTCCTCAACCAAATGACCAAACACAAGATTCTGTTGTGGATTGTTTCACATTAAATAGATACATGTATGTTGAATTACATAGAAAGCATGTATCCAAAGGGTTCTGGAAAGAGGTGAAGACACATTGATTCAGCAGTGAAAAGACATATCAGGCAGCAGTTCTGCTAAATCTGATCAGCTGTGCTTTATCAATATACAGTATATTAAAAACCCAATTTGTTGTGACACATGTTAATTTATGGCCCTTTCTACACAGAAGTTGCATTTTTGGGCCACTATGAAGTCCCTTCCTTATGCCGCCTTTGAATTTTCAGACAGAAACAAACAACAGAGGTTGTAAAGGTCAGATAACTCTGTCCTCCCAATTCCGTGATTACACCGTTTATACAGAACGGTGACGTAGTATAAGGGTGCGAAATTCCCACCTTGAAGAGGCAGTATAAAAGGGGCTCATATCTGAACACTCCAAAACAAATATTTTTTCATTTTCCATAACCGCTTATCCTATCCTATCCTTATCCTATTGGGGGTCACGGGGGGCTGGAGCCTATCCCAGCTGACATTGGGCAAGAGGCAGGGTACACCCTGGACAAGTTGCCAGGCTATCACAGGGCTGACACATAGAGACAGACAACCAATCACGCTCACATTCACACCTACAGGCAGCTTAGTCACCAATTAACCTAACCTGCATGTCTTTGGACTGTAGGAGGAGTACCTGGAGAAAACGCTGACACTGACATGGGGAAAACATGCAAACTTCGCACAGAGGGGCTTCCCCACCCTGGGTTCAAACCAGGAACCCTCTTGCTTTGAGGGGACAATGCCCATGATCAATATTAAAGCTGCAAATTGCACTGGCGTGTTCAGCAAACCATAATAAGTAGATTTTAAGGGTGAAACATTAGGAAAAAGTATTGAATGTTGGAGTGTCAACTGATTATGATGCATACCATAATACTTCTTGGAAATAGAGGAGGACACATGTTACAATGCCTTTTGGCTTTGGAGGTGACTTTCCCTTTAAATTTATCCAAAATTGTACAGTAAAGTAAAGAAGTTCATATCAAAACGGTTTTTATCTTAGTTCAAAACTGAAATGAAATTTAAAAAACATACAAAAAAATTCTTTTCATTACATATTTCTTTTTAAAAAAGGGCAGCAGATAGTAAAATAACTTCACATATAGGACACTGATATAACTGAGAACCCACTGTAATGTTCAGGACGCCTACAAACACACGGAAGGATCACTTTGATTGAAGTGATCAAAAACAAAGATTACGAATGCCTGTAGGGTATCTATAACAAGCCTATTTAGATAAGTCCTCTTTGATCGTGCGTCTCTCTTACCTGCGTCAAAATTGGGTGCAGTCCACTTGACAGCTAGGAAAGCCACACATACACTAGCCAATATGATTTTTGTAAAAGCTCCCATTTTGTGATCTCTACCCAGACCTGCACAATTTCAAAACTGCCTTATACAAGAAATATGAGGACAACATATATGCAGTCGCTATTCTCTGCTTCTCGTGACGTGTAAAGAGGGTGTGTTGTTCAGATAAGAGGTTTATTGAACTTTAATCTAGCAGGGGAGATTGTGGGCGGGACTACAGTGAGGACCACTTGCACTTTTCTCTATGTGCTTCTGCCTTGCTTTGGATTTTAAAGGGGAACAACACCCACATTAGGAATTGAAACATGTTATTTCCATGGCTGAGTAAAGTCCAATCAATATTTGTGAACATAAGCGACTCTCTCTCAAAGGCAGGAACCAGAGAATGAGGTCTCAAACTTGTGATGTCAGAGGATATATAGTCTGGAGGTTCTCCATGAACAATGAATGGGAGCCTGATTTTGTGGACCCACAAAAGAGCTTTATGCCATTGTAGTGTTCTCCGCTCTGACACAGAAAATGTCCTCATATACTCAGAACATTCCCCTGGGTGCTCTCAGTGTCATCTAACATCTTTCCCAATTCATTTCCACTGGAGCCGTTCCAGATTTTTAATCTCATGCCATCACAAATTTGAGCTTTAGAACTCTAGCTCTGTTTTTGGACAAAGAATATCATGTATGAATTATGAAAATGGCTGTAGTTCCCCTTTAAAGGTGGTTGTTTGCTGCTTGTATCAAGTGCATTGCCACAACCTTCTGCTTTGGGAGAAGCAGAAGCTACACAATCTCACAGAGATTCAGTTTTGTAAATGTAAAAAAGAAAAACTGCAAAATCTACTTGGCAGGTACATTCATGTTTTTATATCAAGACCCAGGATTATAGGATTACAGCATGTGCGTACCATTCTTGTTCATACAGGCTATTACAGATCATGATTAGCCAAAGGCACAACGGACTCCTCAACGTGACTGATCAAATAAATCCATTTGATGCTTTTACTGTTATCTTAAGCATGTAACTTAAAAACAAATGTCTTTTTCTTAAAGGTATTACTTTATTATTTAAATCATACAGACACCTTCCTGTTCTTTGAGTGTTCCACTTTTCTACTGCTTTACTCCAAACTACTCCCTTGACTTCTGATTTGATTAAAGGACCTTGTAAATCTATAGCATCTTTCTGCATAGCTTGTTTTGTTAACCTGTCAACCTCCTTAATTCCCTTGAGATCTACGTGTGCAAGAACATACATTACACAGGACTGAGATTCCTTGTTGAATAAGTCTGAAATGTCACACCTTGAATTGGGGTAGTTGTCAAGTACAAACAATCATTGCAGTAGCTCATAATATTTATGACATTATGACACTTTGACTTGCACTACACTCAGCTCATGTTAACGTAATGTCGTAAATAACTCCTAACAATCAGTCAGTTCTCCAGTGCGCTTTGATAAATCTGTAGACTCTTGTCAAGACAAACTCTTTTCGTGTGATAGTTTTCTCAGCAGAAATGTAATTCCCCAGTTGTATGCCAACTATTCAGCCTGATTGCTGACTGAATCCTCTTCTTAGTGTGCAAGATATTCCTTCCACTTATCCATAGTGCTCTGCAAAAACAGATCCACCAATATCTAGTTGTACTTTAGAACAAAGGTCAGATTAATGGACCTCATGGGGCCCCGTTTACCTGTACAAATTGTTACCAATCCTTAACTTAAATAATTCTAAATACTTTATTCAGTTGAATACACCCTTCTCCACCTATAACCCTATCATTAACTTTATCAGACGTCCCTTCTTCCTCATCATATAATAAGCTTTACGTCCACTTTAAAACTGACTCTTTATTAATCTGTAATTTTATGGCCAAATTATAATATCTGGATCCTTCCTTGGCTTCCTCATAGTTATTTTAGCCTCTTTCCATGTATTTAGCAGCCCTCCTTCCTCCCATAACCAACAGTGTAATTAAAACCCTGTTCTTGAGATGTCTTACCGTTATATAAGATATTTGATCTGTCCACTGAGAGCTGGCTGCGTCTAAGACAGAAATAAATATTTTTTGATTGGTAATCGAAATCGAAAACAGCTCCTTTAAATAGCTGTTTTTATTTATTTTTTATTTAGCCGTCGAAATTGTAATTTAAATCGCTATAAACGCAAAGAGGTGAAGGACGAATCTGCGGCTCGTAAATTACGTCAGCACTTACATTTGGAACTGCAACTTTATTGACACAACCCGTGTGCACAGGGATCAACACGGTTGTCCTTCACTAGAGCTATCTCATTCAGATAGCTTTTACCCCAGCTTACTCTCGGAGTTCCTGGGATAACAGTACGTTAAAGGAAACAACACCGCTTGTGGACCATGGCGGCAAAGATTTTGCCTGTTCTGAAGTTAGTAATTCTAATTTCACCCTTAATTTCCGCGAGGTTCTTGCTGCCGTAGGTGCTAGCTGCTCATTAGCCAGTTAGCTAACTGACGCTAAGCTAACCGTCACTCTACCCGACAGCTTTCCAGCTGCTATCTTCAACCACTGTGTTGACTGGTTTGACAGTTACATAGCTGGCTCTATAACTTACAGTAGAATTAGCTTATACTATATGTATACATTTGTTCTGTACGCTTGCGTAATTCACACCAGCTGTCATAGCTAGCTAACGTTAGCTAATACTTCATAAATTGCTAACTAATGTTTATAGTCTAGGTACCTGAGCTTTGCTTTGCAATAAATGGCACTTTTAAGTTTTGTTTTGTGGAAATGGTAACATGTAGCCGTGTTTCCAGTCAGTTTGACATGTTTATGATTGGGATTTAAAGGTGAGTGAAGTTGGGTTGTAGCCTGACAGCTTCTGTTCTTTCATTTTTAGACTGGCCACCAAGGTTACCATTGCAGGAGGAGCTCTCTACATAGCCTGTGACTCTGGTCTGTTGGGGAGCAGTGAACAGGGATCAGAGGCTCTGGGGAAGGCCAGGGCTGCAATTCCACCTGCTGTCGATGAATGGATGAAGTACTTTGGCCTGGAGGTACTGATAAGATGCACTGCCTGAGCACAGTTCTGATCCAGAATGGCCCTAGATAGGGGCTAGTTGACATGATAGTGCAGCACAAGAAAGGAAAAATATAACAGGCGAAGACCTTGTATCCACATTTGATTTACAAGTTGACCTATAGCAGGCAGATAAGTAATTTATGTATACACCCTGACAATGCGGCTTATTATTCATAAAAAAGAATGCAATTGTGCTCTATCCAAGTGTCCTACCATGTCACGGCACATTACTCGTGGGATTATAGAACATCTTTACAAGACGGAAATGTTGTATTTACAGCACAACAGTGAACAGCTTCTGACTGTGCTGGGCACTAGGGATTGGCAGCACAACCAAAAACACTATTCGAAAATCATGGCAACTATTCAACGATTTTTCTCGATAATCGCTCACAGAGTTTGCACTGCACCTCATTTTCGTTTATTTTGTCAAAGTTGTTCCACACGGAACTTTCTGATGACTGTAGTAGTCTCTGCATGTTCCTCCTGTTTGTAGAAGAGCATCAAACTAGTTGGTAGCCCATCTCACACCGCTGTAGCAATCCTATACTGCCCTCGTGCGGTTAGGAGCTGAATTGCATGTCAAATAAAGGGGGAAATAAGACGAATAGTAATAGTCGCATTAAAAAATCGATTTTTCAAAATAAAATGACTATTCGAAAATTCGAAAATCGTGACCCATCCCTACTGGGCACAAATCAGTCTGTGATTAAACAATGGAAAGCAACAACAACAGCAATCATCCACCCCTTACTGCAGACATGTCTAAAGTCTGACACAGGGGCCAATCGTGGCCCACAGACTGATTTTTATTAGCCTGTGGCTTGTGGTTTAAAATATACTATATATGGCAAGCAATATCACTCTGCATTTTTTTCTGTTCACCTCACAATGGCAGGACTATCACACAGTTTGTAGACACGCACCAAGTAGGAGCTACACATGTGGAATCAACATGTTTTCAGCAAATGAGTGGCTACCCAACAGTTGACATTTTCCACTAGGTAGCAGACGTGGCCACAGCAAAAAAGTGTAAAGTTGACAGCGAGGGCAGCAGTGGAAAGTGAAAAACTTGTGGTTGTCTCATATGTATGGCTGTGTTTTTTAAATAACCAATATGATGCAAGAAGCAGCTGCCACCCAGGTATTTTCACATCATCCAATCTGGACCCCATCTAAAATATTCTGGACACTGCTGCCTTACTGATACAAGGTTGTCTTCCTGAACTTCTATAGATTCATCGAATAAGTTGTCTAGTTGAAGTTCATGTAGTATTAGGGACAGTAAAGTAATGATCCTCCTCGTTTCTACCCCATCACATACTGGTCAAATTCCAATTGCTTCTTCTAAAACAATATTATTGCCTATTTCAGTCTAAAGAGGAAGTATACCAGCTCCAATGTGAACACAAATAGACCAATTTTTCTTTGTTAGATTGTTAAAAAAACAAAAAAAAACAAAAAAACCCACAATTTTCAGTAAAACAGAGTTTCACAACATTTTACAATACAGCAAGTGTAGAGCTTTGGTTTACTCCAGATCTCATGTGCCGGGCTGTGTCTTTTCAGTAATGCCCATAAACACAAGACATCTTACTGCAACCTAAATACTCAGTAGCTCAATGTCAGTTAATTCCTTCTACAAAATATACCAATATTTAATTTAGGGATGCAAGATATCAGTATCAGATATGCCAATATATAACAACTCTGTTTGGCTGATAACTGATACCAATATCAATATATCCACTTTTTCCCCACCTAACTTTAGTGATCATCAAGTCTCTTTGTAGTCGAATCAACATCATATTATACATACATATTCTTATTGTGACGCCCCACCAGCAGATGGAGACATGATATAGAAACCTTTTCAATGTATGTAGTATTCATTCATTGTGCAAAATAAGAAAAGGCATTTTGGCCAATTCTAATAGTTCATTTTAAAGCCAGTATTATCGTGCATCCCTTATGTCATAATGTGTGTCATATTCCTATTACTGCAATTCTGGAGTAATATGCCAACTTTTCAGTGAAGCACCAAAATGTCAGCCCTCCATCATTATTGCATTGCACACTGTTTTTCCACATGATGTTGAGTCATCAGCCAAAGTGGCATCTTTCACATTCCATTCATTAACTGGTTTTTAAAGTTTTACAATATTTAATTTAAATGCAGTATAAAGTACATAACTACAAAGCCTTACACTGTGTTGTTTCCCCTCCTCTCCTCAGGCTCAGCTTCCAACCATGCCTAAGATTGAATTCTCCCCCATTCAGGCGTGGAACTCTGGTAAGAACTGAATCAATCAATCAATAAATCAATTTTATTTATAAAGCCCAATATCACAAATCACAATTTGCCTCACAGGGCTTTACAGCATACGACATCCCTCTGTCCTTATGACCCTCACAGCGGATAAGGAAAAACTCCCCAAAAAAACCCCTTTAACGGGGAAAAAAACGGTAGAAACCTCAGGAAGAGCAACTGAGGAGGGATCCCTCTTCCAGGACAGACAGGCGTGCAATAGATGTCGTACAGAACAGATCAGCATAATAAATTAACAGTAATCCGTATGACACAGTGAGACAGAGAGAGAGACAGAGAAAGAGACAGAGAGAGAGATGCAGGTAATAACAGTAGCTTACAACAACATTATTGAAAGTAATAATATTATAGTTCTGGCTACTGTGGTACAATATGTTGAAAGTATGTATTAATATCTGGCAGTATACATGTGTGACAATAGTCATATGTGTATAATAACAGTAGAAGTATGACTAATGACTAATGATGGCAGCAGCAGCAGGAGGCATCTGGCAGGACCACGGCAGCAGCACAACCACACACGTCACGCTGTCCAGGCGCCGCTGCGATATGAGTTAATCTGAGAGACAGTGGAGCACAAAGGCTCCGGAGAAGAAGCCGAGTTAGTGACATCCAGAATGGCCGAGTTAGCAAGATGCAGTAATAGAATACAAGAGAGAGAGAGAGAGAGAGAAGGAGAGAAGGTGCCCGGTGTATTATAGGGGGGTCCTCCGGCAGACTAAGCCTAAGTCAGCCTAACTAGGGGCTGGTACAGGGCAAGCCTGAGCCAGCCCTAACTATAAGCTTTATCAAAGAGGAAAGTCTTAAGTCTAGTCTTAAATGTGGAGACGGTGTCTGCCTCCCGGACCGTAACAGGAAGATGATTCCACAGGAGAGGAGCCTGATAGCTGAAGGCTCTGGCTCCTGATCTTCTTTTGGAGACTTTAGGGACCACGAGTAACCCTGCGTTCTCAGAGCGCAGTGTTCTGGTGGGATAATATGGCACTATGAGCTCTCTAAGATATGACGGAGCTTGACCATTTAGAGCTTTATAAGTTAACAGTAGGATTTTAAATTCAATTCTGGATTTTACAGGGAGCCAGTGCAGAGAAGCTAAAACAGGAGAAATATAATCTTGTTTCTTAGTTCCTGTTAGTACACGTGCTGCTGCATTCTGAATTAGCTGGAGAGTTTTTAAGGACTTACTAGAGCTACCTGATAATAGAGAGTTACAGTAATCCAGCCTAGAGGTAACAAAAGCGTGGACCAATTTTTCCGCATCTTTTCGGGTCAGGATAGGCCTAATTTTCGCAATATTACGCAGATGAAAAAATGCAGTCCGTGAGGTTTGTTTTAAATGAGAATTAAAAGACAAATCTTGATCAAATATTACTCCGAGGTTTTTTACGGTAGTGCTAGAGGCCAGAGCAATGCCATCTAGAGAAACTATGTCATCAGATAAAGAGTCTCTGAGTTGTTTGGGGCCAAGAACTATAACTTCAGTTATTGAAAAGCTTGTTCTGTTTTTTTTTTTGTTTTTTTTTAAATAGGGGTTATAAATGTGGTAATGTCATGAGTTTGTTGTAAATTGTGGTTGTGCACTTCCCTTGTCAGATAAAGTGATATTGTTAGTGTGACATTGGGGCAGAAGTTAATTTTAGCATCACTACTATTACTCTGAGGTGATAATTATTCTGTTGGTTAACACCTTAAATGTGTCATACGTATTTTCAGTGCCTCAAACCCCAATCATGGATGTTTATCTTTGCAGGAGTACGGACGTCAATTTCAGCTCTTTCAGAGGCTCCAACAAAAGCAACTGGATACACAAATCAGGGTTTGCAGTATCTGAAAGACCTCACCAAGTAAATATGAACCCTCTGGAAAACCTGAGACTTTTTGAGTTTTGCACTTGAAATGACATTACTTCTTCAAAAGTTGTAGCCCCTATCAAGAAAGAAGAAACACCCAACTTGAAAAAAAAAAACAGCTAGAAAAAGAAGCTTTGAAATTCAGCTTCAAGAGTGCGGTCTCCTGAATGGGTACTGTGGTTCCCTAAATAATCATGGCATTGGTTGGGAGTTGTATTGTGCGTAATGCCAGTAAGCAAAATGCATTTTTAAAAAAAGGTATTTCATTTTGTGTGTACCACTAAATTTCGTTTTGCTCTGTACTGTCTAATATACAGTATTTCACTCCCCTTTGTTCTCAAACCACCTGAATAATGTTATGAAGAGAATGTCTGTTGTGTGTGTATATATATGCAGTTTCACCATTTGTGACTAAACAATACATCAATCTTAAAACACGTCCAGTCTTTAGTTTGATTTATTGAGGATGCACTGCGTGTTGATCGTGGCGGTTCAAAGAATGAGACCAAACAAATGTGCAAAAATCTTTATTACTCATGACAGAATAATAACTGCTGCTACAACTTCAGAACAGGAGGTGATTTAAAGCATGAAGAAGAGCGCACAGTCATTTATAACTCCACTCTACACAACACAGAAACACCACACAGCACCAGCAGCGGTGATGCACAGTGTCAACCTCTTTTTTTTCTTTTTTTAAGTAGGTCAAACAAACGGAGCCGCTTCTGCCACACACTGTCACTTCTCTACTGTTGAAATAAAGTTTGAATACTTCCAGACACTCTGTTCAGATTATGCATGCTGAGTTTGACAGCTAAAAATAACAGTAACAGTATACCTACTGATTGACTAGTTTGCTAAGGGATACACTGAGTGACTTGAGAGGACTGAGAGGGCCAAGATCAGTTCAGCAGCTACTAACAGAGTTGGGATGAAATGCATACTGCAAGCATACATGTTTGCAAGACAAAGTTATAAAGACTAGAACCAGAGTTAGTAACTGTCAACAAACTGGCTTGTCAGTTGGTTATACCTGTTAAATATTCAGTTTATAATTAATGTAAATAAACAACCCTTTCACTAAAAGCTGGTGGTGTTCTGATGAAATATCTGTATAAATGAGAGTAACCACAAGAGGCAACATTACAAGGCATTTTACACAAGTTGTACATATTAAATACTGTCATCTGTGTGTATTGCAACAAGTTTTTTTTTTATTTTTTTTCTTCATGCGTAAGATATAAAGCATTTATTCTGCCACATTTTCTCTTAAGGAAAAAGCAGTTTGGGGGAAACTATATAGCGTAGCATAACCTAAACATGTAAACTTTATACAATAAAGTGCTCCCCACAAGATCAACAGTGAGCTTTTACAACCGATGATGTGTGTAATATTTGTAGAACATTTTCATACTGCATTAAGAGCAAAACAGCACTAATATAAACCGATGGCTGCGAGACTTTCCTCAAGCTGTCAGTGTCACCACTTCCAAATGAAAACCAAAGAGCAGCCATTACACGCAATGATTCAATAAGAGCGTAAATAGTCGGAGATATAGTATGTACAATATTGCAAAATGACAAGCCGGAAGGCACTTTATGATTTGTGTGGGATCGAATTTAAATGAGAATTTAGCAAACTGCGTCCTCATCACCAGTGCAAAGGATCTGATATGATGCTAAATATGGTGCAAAGGTGCAGGAGTATATTTCCACATGAGCATAATTCATCTAAAAGGCTTTTGTAAATATCAGGGCCCCTTTCAGGTGATTCTACAATCCTGCTTTCATACATTCCTTCCAGTACTAATGCTAAAATTTGATAATACAGTTTGATAAATACAATAATTTATCTGCCTCAATGGAAGCTTTCTATCCCAAACATAATGTGTAGATCATCAGTGTCTTCAAAAGAATATTTTAAGCAGCTTTTTTAGTCACACCGGGTTTTAATTAAGATCATCACTTTAAGGACAAATCAGCGAATGTGTCAAGTACAACAATACAAATGCAGTAACAACTGCACTTCGCAGCTGTTGGGCAGTGCAATTTTTTGGACTGTCCAAACTTAAAGAATAAAGTAGAGCAGCAACAATAAAACAAGTCGACTCCACCTCCTCGAAATAGCCAAGCATAGCAGTGCTACAGTTCTGCTGTGCATATGAAAAACAGATTGCACTTTCTTCTGAACAATAAAAAGCATATTAACTATTCGACCCTGCCATGGCTTTGGATAACGGGTTATAACGATGAGTGGAACAGAAGCAGATGGCGGGAGGCTGGAGAGAGTGAGATAAAGTGTCCACTATCTCTAGGTGGTTTTCACCAAGTCATAGACATGGATATGAAAGTCATCATCGTATTTGATATAGTAGACAGAGGGCTTGGCTGGGACCTGGTAGATGACCAGGCCTGTTCTCTTCACACCCTTGTCAGTAACATACTCCACCTGTTTCCCCACCAGGCTCTCCGTCTCCTCTCCTGGCTTCCTGTCTGCTGGCAACAGGTGCTTGTTTTCTGAGGAGTGAAACATAAGCATTACATTTGAGTTAGTGCAAGCTAGTTTGAAATGTGTTCCGCCTACTTAAAATATCTTTAAGATGCTATAAAATAATGTTTGCTTTGGCATCAGAAATACACAGCCTCCTTTCTTCCTCCAGTTCTATACCTCCAATTTCACCATCACTTCAATACATTTACACATATGGAAATTAAAAACATTCTCAATACTTGTCAAGACTTTCTAGATAAGTATAAGAACCCTGTATATCTTCTATTTATCATGACTCAGTTAAAGGAATAGTGTGAAGGATTTAGTGGCATCTAGCAGTGACAATCGGCATCGAGTGGGGACAAGGCAAACTGCATGACTTGGACTTTGCGGATGACCTGGACTTTGCGGACGACCTGGCTCTGATTAGTCATACCCACGTTGCACCCCAGGAGATGACCAGCAATCTCCAAGAGCACGGAACAAAGGTTGGTCTACGGATCAGCCACAAGAAGACCAAGGCCATGATCGTCGGCCAGGATCAACACCACCCACCACTCACTCTTGGCGAGTATGACATTGAGTACATCAAGAACTTCACGTATCTTGGCAGTAACATCTCGAGTATAGGAGATGTGGAGAAAGACGTACAAATGAGAATCAGCAAAGCTGCAGGAGTGTTCCAAAGGCTCCACAACATATGGTCGTCCAGAGCTATCACTACGGCCATCAAGCTATGTCTGTATATGTCAGTGGTCATTCCAACAGTGACCTACGCCTGCGAGACGTGGATGAGGACTTCCAGCATTACCAACATGTTGGATGTCTTCCACCGACGATGCCTCAGAACCATCTTGAGGATCTCATGGTGAGACCACATCACCAACGATGAGGTGATGAGAAGGGCAGGGGTGGCGTTACTGTCTGACACGGTTTGACACGTACTCCGGCTGCCAAGAGAGACTTGTTGCCCAATGGTCCAATTGGAACGGATGGAGCTAAGTCTAAGTCTAAGCAGTGACGATCACAGATTGAACCAGCTGAAACTTCTCCCGCGTACCATGTGTAAACCCCCGGTTAGTAATCCCTCAGTGTTCAGTTTTCAGGTTTTTAGTAGAAGCTTATTCGCAGAGGTCTTTTCCTCTCCAAAACAAACAGACAAGGTAATTAAAACCGGGAAAAACACTGAATAAAGTGATTTTGTGTTACAAATCGGTGTTTCTCGTATACTTTTTGGCTCGTCGCAGATGGTCCGCTAACCTAGCTACTGCTAATGCATGCTCATATTTTTCCTTTTAACTTAGGATCCAGACTTTCAGGGTTTTTTTTACTGAGAGCCAAATTATCCGAAGACTTCTCTTCCTCTCAAAACAAATGCACATGGTGATTTAAACCAGTAAAAACACTGAACAAAGCAGTTTCATGTCGACAATGTGTTTTTCTAACACTCACGATGTGAAGGGGCTACCAGCCTCGGTGGCCGACACAAAAACATGAAATGAAATGTCTGTATCTAGAGCCAGTGTTTGGTTTGTCCATTCTAGGCTACTGTAGAAACATGGAGGAGCAACATGGCAGAATGGATGAAGATAAACGGCTCAGTTTAAGGTAAAGAAAACAACGATTCTCAATTTCAGGTGATAATACATGAAAGAAAATGTACTTATTATATTCCATTTCTACTAATACATCCGCCTGAATTCTACACACTTAACATTTAATGTAATCTGTAAACTAAAAATTATCATGGACACACAGCTTTAACGGACTGAAATAACTATGTGATGCATAATGCAGTATTCAGACATTTCATTAAGAGTTCTCACTATCTGAAATACACTGGATTAGGTATTACCGTAAATGTTTATGTGTGAAAATTATTTGACTATTTACAAATCAGATGCAGCAATTTGTGCATGTTTAAACATAGCTATTACCTCTTAGGAGAGGCTCAAGAAACAGAATTCGGTGAAACCACTGAAAAGAGTCTTGGCTCTCATTATTCAACATCATGACCGTGAATATCTAATTTCCAAGAAAAACACTGCCTGATATAACTCTGTGCACTGACTTCACTTTTATGGAAAACTTAAACTCATGTCGAGGGTGTTCATGGCCGCAAGGAGTGCTCACTTTAAAATAAATAGTTATGCCTGTTTGCCACTGGGAGTCGAACCCTTTGATGAAGACAAACATCCATGACTGCTGGCAAGCTCACATGGTATCCGTGTCAAAAAAGACTTCATAGAACTCCAAAGTGGGAAAAAATTCATTTACGTCACGTTGCAGTCACTCTTGATCTTATTTATAAAGCTTTAGGACAAAATTACTGAAGGCCTAATGAAGCTGTGTGAAGCATAAATCTGTCTTGGTAACAGCAAAATCACCAGTACCTGCTTCAGGCAGAATCCTGAGGTCTCCGTCAGCATAGTCATCCCACAGCTGGTACATATAAAGTACGGGGTCCTTTTCATAAGTGATATAATACCAGTTGGTCATAATGGGAGCTCTGGAAAGGACCATGCCCCTCCACTCGTTCTTTTCTCCATCTTCCTTTTCAAACAGATGCTCCACAGCTTTGCCCACCAGCTCCTCCGCCCCTGGAGGCATCTTGATCTTGTTGTTTACTGTGGAAACAGCAGCAATGGATATAAAATATAAAATTACCCAACTGGTGCTTTACTTATTCATCACCTTCACTATATGAGAAACGTTATATCTTGGTTCATGTCAGAGTCTAAAAAGATAAATCCAGCTGGCACAGGTTAAAAGAGAGACTCGCTAACTCACCAACATTTTCTGACAAGACCTGCAGGTTCGACACTCTGTCGTCCTTAAACAGCTCGATGCCATAGACGCAGTCAAAGCCGTCATACTTCACCATGAAGAGAGAAGGGTTCACGCTGAGCCTGTCGAGCACCGTTCCCTTCCATTTGCTCTGGTTCCCCTTCTCACGCCAGTTATGCTGAATACGGACACCCAGGATGCTGTTGGGATCCGGGCTCAACGTGTCGCTCAGCTCCCCACTGCTCCGCTTTCTGGTAACACAGGATAAATATGCAGGTCTGCGTTACCACCATAAAAATCTATCTTCCTATTTTCAAGTACAGCTAATTATTTTAAGAAACAGTGTGTAAGATTGAGGGGGATATTTGCAGAGATGGAATAAACTGTAATTTGTTTTCTTTAATGTATAATCACCTGAAAATAATAATCGTTGTATTTTTGTTACCTTAAAATGATCCGTTTATATCTACATAGGGAGCGGGTCCTCATCCACAGAGTCTGCCATGTTGCTCCTCCATGTTTCTACAGTAGCCCAGAATGAACAAATCAAACACTGGTTCGAGATAGGGCTATTCATGTAGGCCATGGTTGTTAAAAGCCCTTATGCTATGAACGGTGATGGAAAAACATTAATTTTTTAATGTTAATCTACTTTATTCTGTGATTTTACCATTTTAAACAACTGGGTACATGTGATTTGGAGAGGAGGAGACCTCTGCAGATAATTCTGCCCCTGGTTAAATACTCCTGAATGTCTGGATCTGAAGTTATCAGAGAAAAAGGTGCGCAAAAGGCTAACGACCTGTCTCCAACATGCCAAACAGTGTTGGAGAAAGACAGATTTGTAACGTGAAACTGCTTTATTCAGTGTTTTAAACGCCAGGTCCATCTGTTTTAAAGCTCACAGTAAAACACTTTTTAACTCCTGAACATCTGGATCAAAAATAAGGTTAGCTCACATTAGCAGGTGCTGGGAAAGCAGGCCGTATTTGTAACATGATACTGCTTTGTTCAGTGTTTTTACAGGTTTTGATAAACTGATTGGTGATTTAGAAAAGGAGGAGACCTCTGCGGATAATTCGGTTCCTGGTAAAACCCTCCTGAACGTCTGGATCTTAAGTTATCAGAGAAAAAAGGTGCACAAAATGCTAGCGGCCTGTCTCTGACATGCCAAACAGCATTGGAGAAACACTGATTTGTAGTGTGAAACTGCTTTATTCTGTGTTTCACCAGTTTAAATCACGGGGGCCATCTGTTTTGGATTGGAGGAAACCTCTAAGGATAATTCGGCTCACAGTAAAACACTCCTGGACTGAGCATCTGGATCAGAAATAAGGTGACTGGGCCGTCTGCAACTTGCCAAACAGGGTACAACAAACACTGATTATAACATAAAACTCCTTTGTTCAGTGTTTTTACAGGTTTGAATCACCTGGTGGTTTGTTTGTTTTAGAGAGAAAGAGACCTCCGTGGATAATTTGGCTCCCATTAAAAAAAACCCTGAACATCTGGATCAAAAATGAGATGAGTCCACGTTCACTAATTGTAGAAAATTGGCAAGCAAACATTAGCAAGTGCTGGACAAGCAGGCCCTTTACCACTTCCCAAACAGGGTAGAAGAAACACGGATTTTGAAACATGAAACTGCTTTGTTCAGTGGTTTTACTGGTTTTAATAACCTTGTTTGTTTGTTTTAGAAAAGGAGGAGACCTCTGCGAATAGTTAAGCTCCTGATAAAAACCTTCTCAACAATGGACGCTACATGAATTCTAACCAGAAGTTTCAGCTGGTTGCAACCATTTAATGCCACTAAATCCCCCTTAATCTTACACACTGGACCTTTAATTCCAGAAGTGTACACCTGGATTAATCACTTAAGTCGTGTAGTTGTGATTGTAGTTTTGCTATTACATTAGATACTCAAACCACCATTAATGGCATCATGTGATGGTGTGTATAGTAGCTTTGCTTCTACATACCTGCCCCTTTTCTTGGACATGCCTCCAGAAAGTCAAAGGCTACTGATTAAGAGAGAAACAGGGCAAGGTTCAGTTAATAATGTGAGCGAGTGTGACAGCTGCCAAACTTCACATGTACTGTGTGTTACAGCATGAGGAAGGCCTCTGCTTCAGCTGAGAGGCTGGCCTGTCTGAGGAGACCTGTGACAGGCTGCAGGCTGCTCAGCACAGACTGACAGCTCTAGCAGCCAATAGATTAGCATGGTGGAATAACTTCCTGGGTATTTACTTGAACCACACAGACATGGAGGTCACAGTTTGTAATGCACAGTCCGCTGTGTAGGTTGTCGTATTTATTACACAAGTATTGCCGCAGGTAAAAAGGCCAATACAAATCTGGCTAATACAACTTAGAGAGAACACATCAGCCATTTCAGTGTATCTGACGAGTAACAGCATGTTACGTTAGCCGGTTACATTTTAGTAGAAAATAACTTGTACATTAGCAACATACGTGTAAAATATGACGAGGAGAGCCATATAAACTACGCAATAAGTCACACCACCTGTCCTGGACTACATCCAACACACCTACACCTCTCACTGTAGGTTATCAATAACCCTCGTCGGTCCTAGCTCTACCTCAATGCAGATGTTACTGTAAGATAAGTGGAGTCGGCTAGCTACATCCGCTCTGCGGTGTTGCTAACAGCAGGTAACAAACACCGTGAACACCGGGGTGTTAACGGCCTATTCTCCACTCAGTATATGTCTTCATTACCTTTACGCAGATTTCATATCAGTATTGTTCAGTTCGTCTGGCAGAGAAACGCTGCCACACACCAGCCCGCCTATGTAAATCTCGCGAAACCTGTGGAAAATGGGAGATGCGGTGAAGAGACTCAACTTCCCACCGAGCCTAGGGTTATCATGACCGCACTGAAGGACGCGACACGCGCGCAATGCACACTGGGAGTTGGTGTTTTAATGGCAGTGATATGTACTTTACGACTCTGTGCGTTACACAGGTGTTGGCTGCATGCTGCGTTCGTGTGTTTTCGGAAATAGCGTATGAATCACGTAAAAGTCCAGTTATATAATAATAACATTTATTTATATATTACCTCTCAAAACGCAGTCACAAAGTGCTGTGCAATAAAACTAAACACAATTATAACACAAGAAGAATTTTATTTTATTTTATTATTTTATTTTATTTTATTTGTATTTATTTTTATTATTGTTTTAGGACTGGTGGGGTGGGGGGGCATATTAAAGAAAAAGAAAAAAGTGTTATCTGTGTTCACTAAATTTCAGTGTACTGTACTTATAAGATGAATAAATAAATCTGATTTTAAAAAAAAAGACAAGGAGAAAAAACAAATAACATGTCATAAAATGTCATCTGGTAAAAGATAAATAAGGAAGGCCAAAGATAATAAATGGGAAATAATATCAATAAGACAGCGATAAAATAGACAGACAGCTCAAATAAAGTCAGGATATGCTTTTCGATATAAGTATGTTTTTAGGAGAGGCTTATTTTATTATTTAGAGTTAGCTATAAGCTTATTTTCATCTGTAGTCCCTGGGCAGGAAACAGAGAATGATGAGCTGCTAAAAGACACTACTGTATAAAGAAAATACAATAACAAAACAGGACATATTCATGATACTACGGCATCAGCAATAATAACAGCAAGACAACACAACAACAAATCATGGCAACAATAAAAGTAGCAACAACAGTAATACTACAACACTAAGATATGATGACAATAATTCATAGTGTTAGATCATGTGTTTGAGTTCATGTGTAATGGGTACATGAGTTGATTTTAGCCAAGATTTCATCTTAAATTATTATTATTATTATTATTATTATTGTCTTATCTCACTTGGCACTGAGTTCCAATAGTTTGTAGCTCTAATAGAGAAGACGGATCTACCAAACTCAGTAGATCTGTGCTGTACTGCACAGACGCTGCTGCTGGTTGACCTAGATGCCCTCACATTTTTTGAGTGCAGTTGTATGGACTCTTTTAAAGGTGGAGCAGCAAGATCATTAATCACTTTGTACACTAGACTAGCATCAGCAAGACACACAAAGCGGTCAAACTTAAACAAAGCCAGTGACTCAGACAGCCTTACATCCCCTTTGGTCTTCAGTCTGGACTCTGGGACAAGCAGAAGACCTCTGCCTGAGGATCTCACACTACGTAAAGGTTCATAAGGGACTAACAGGTCTGAAATGTAATCATAAAACAAACAGGAAGACAATGTAAAGAGGCTAAAAGTGGTGTGATGTGGTTGTGCTTCTTGGGTTTGGTTAAAAGTTCCTTTTAAAGAGTACAATCCTGTAATCAAAGCCATTCCCTCTGGTTTAATCCATCTTATTAGAAGTCACTTATGGTGAACAAAACATCCCACAGACTTTATTTGCATTGCTTTTGAATGGTATCAACATGTTTGACAAGAAATGTTTTAATATACATAGGCCTATTGGTCAAATTTGTTTTAGAAATAAAAACAAAATCCCCCCCAGAGGGAAATTTTACTGAAACTCACATTTGGAAGAGATTACCAGGCAATAAACATGGCTTTTAACTTACAAGAATTGTATTCCTAACAAAGTAAAAGAAGTTCATTTCAAAATTTTGCATAAAATCTATCCAGTAAATTCTATTATTTCCAGATATGACAATGTTTCGGTGGACCTGCTGATGAAACATTGATTCATTTATTTTTTCAGTGCAGAATAACAATGAAACTTCGGTCTGCTTTAAGTTCTCATGCTTTCCGTACCACGCATATCACTCATTGTTTACTTGAAAAGATATAATCTGTTACTGTGGTGATATGAGTAACACGTTTCTGAACTGTGGTGTTAACTTAGGGGAATTCTTTATTTATAAACAGAAGATCTTTGGTTCACAACCCTCTCTCCACATTTTTTTTATTGAATTTAAGTCAATATTGAACTGTTTTGGTCTTATGAACAAGATTTTTAGAATATTACAAAAAATAGTTGATGAAACCCCTGTTTGTTTGTTTGTTTGTGTGTTTGTTTGTTTGTAGGTGTTGTTTTTCTTAATTCCCATTCTTACTTTATTTATTATTTGTTCATATTTCATTGCAATTTGTTGAATAAAGTTTAAAAAAAGAAAGACATCACGACACAACCAACCACAACACATACAAAGGATTCGCTTGGACAAAAGTGTGGTCAGTGCCCCATTATTACTAATAATATCAGAGAGGTTTCCTTTATTATACACAAGTTTTACCCTGCAAAACATTTTCTGAAGAAATTTAAGGATGAAATAGATATATATTGTTCTTTTAGCTCAGCCCATCCAGAAACTGTGCCCCATCTTTTGTGGCATTGTCAGTGCATGCAGTGTGATTACACTGGGGCCCTGGGGTGGAAGGGCCTGTGGAGAAAGCAGGGCCTTGCAAGTGATTCAGATGCCACCTTGGAAATATACCTGTGTTCAGTGATTAACAATACAAAAAATAATATTATTAACTTAAAAATGGTGTGATTATTTTTGTCAGATGTTCAGTGATGATGATTGCTGGGTGATATGTATACATGCACTAACAAAACAATGACAAAGAGGCACAAAATGACAAAAAAAAAGTAAGATTACCTCAAAGAGAAGCAAAATTACTTTAAGGAGACCCAAGTAGCTACAAAAAAGACAACAAAGAGACACAAAACTACAAAAATATGCATAACTTTTTTCTGGTGCGTCACATTCGGCGTCACGGACAGGGCGGACACTGGAAAACAGGTTAGTCAACAATGGAAAGGAGCATGGAGGCCAATGAAAATGTTACAGTGGTTACTCCTTTTTTATTTCTAAAACTTTGACCCATAAAATACATTTTTCTCCAAAATTCATGATTTTATGGTGGTGTCACTGTTGGAAACATTTTTTGATACAAACAAATAACAATAAAGATTGCATGGGAACTTCTCTTAGTTTTTCATTTTAATTTTATTATTACTTTCAGCTAAGCCGACTTTTAAAGGTGCAGAATTAAAAGATTTTTTTGCCCTACCTATGAGCCCTGAAACATAATTCATCACCTCATCTTAACAGCCGCAGCACTGCATTGTTAAGCAGATATCAAACAACATAACACCACATGTTGTATGTCATGAAGAGGCTTTCCTCGAAAAGTACATCCCAATTAAGCATATTGACACAATACCATTCAATCTGATTTGCCTAATTGTTGTTCACCACATTTGTAATCCATTCCCTGAAGGATGATACACGTGTGTAGACATCAGGGGTTCTGGGGTCTCCGCATCGCCGCCCAGAGAAGGAGACGACGCCTGCTGCAGCTCCATCACACACCAACGGACCACCTGAATCCCCCTTAAACAGAAAAGGTACAAGACACTTAACAACTTTCTATACACAAGACAGTCTCACATTTTAACAGTGGAAGATGTTTAATGTCTCCAACTTGATACTCTAAAAAACTCCTTCAGACATTAGCTTCAGCACCTGGTCAGTGTCTAGTGTGTGCTCTTACCGAGCAGAAGCCTTGAAAGACGCGGGCCCCGACTCCACAAACCATAGTCCTGGGGATTGGAACGCTTCTCCATCGCCTACGACATGTCCGCTGTGGCAGGGTGGTTACGTTGACCTCCTGAAGCCTGATTGGTAAGGTGCCATTATCACCTACATCCCCCCAGCCAGCTGTGATGCACTGACTGGAAGTCCTCAGTCTGCCTGTCTTCAGAGGGATCACCTGCACTGCTTCAGTCAGCTGTGCGCTACCGTTGAGCTGCGACAACAACATTAATGGTGAAAAAATTTGTGTAGTCTTAACATCACGTATTTAGAATGGAGAATTTATTTCAGTCTGCAAATAGAAATGAGAACGCCATGTATTAATCTACAAATTCATGTAAATAAAGTCACAGCCTCTCACAGAAAATGGCTGATACTTAAATAGCACAGTGCAAAACATTACAATAAAGTAATTTAGCATAACTTAGACTCCTCTGCAGTCTGAAAAAGGTGTAGGCTGAAGCTACAGCTGATAACACCTACCCTTTTAACAGCACATCATATTTAACGGTCAACAACAGAACAAACCAAAACAGGCATAAAAGGCAAAATAGAAGCAAATCTGATATATAGTAAAATCTGTAGTAAAAAACACTGTCCTCACCTGTAGGAGCATGATATCATTTGCATGTCCGTCATAGTTGGGGTTTGGAATGGCTCTGATTGCAGTGAACTGCTGCTGGGTGGACTCATTGGCAGTCAGGGAATTAGCTCCAAGCACAACTGTGTATGGTCTATAAATCAAAACAGAATGAGTGGACGTTAGATAGGATGTCGAGGCTACGATTAATCTATCTTGACAGGAATTGTTAACATCACGACACCACCATAACCATGACCTGACACCTGTCATGAATAGTCTTTGTGAATCTTTATGACTGTTGTCATTAAGCGTCACCAGGTCAATTATGTCATTTTAAATGCAGAGTTGACAGCATTTGTCTTCATCATGCGTTGCTGTTTTTGCAAATGGCTGACACAACACAATTATAATAGTGTAACAAATATTTTCCTTGGCCTCGGTGGTACAATTTTAACTAGTTATTAAACATCATTAAGTGTTATCATACTGTCAAATGCTTTTATAACAGTGTCATGAGTCAGTTCCTTGATCTCAACTACAGTGGGACAATCATGGTCATAAAGATGTCATTGAATGTTATTATACCGCGAGATGCTTTTAAAATCCATGACAGAAACAGGGGATTTTTTACTTTGAGGGTTCCGACATATTTTCAGGACGTACATTTTGTGTTATTGGGTATTGCCTCTCAGCCTGTCTATTTATTATATCTTGCTTTTATTTTTTACTGCTTACAATCAGTGACTCAGGCGCAATATCAGTATTTTTAAACTGTGCAATATCTATACTTCCATTGTTCAATAATGTAAAATCTGTCTCTATTATATTCTGCTTCTTTCTGATGCTTCCTTATTATATTTCTTTGTGCTTTTATACAGTTTGCTTATTGTTCTGCTCTTTGTTTTTGTACAGTTTACTTACTTTAGGTATTTATATATTGCTTTGTATTTTTTTCTACTGATGTTTCCTGTTTGCACCATCCCTTTGCTGCTGTAATGTTGCAGATTTCCCCGCTGTGGGATGATTAAAGGATTATCTTATCTTATTTGTTAATGTCAAGTTGTCATAACAAAGACATTATCAACAATGTGAACTTTGCATTAATGATAGAGTTGAATTAATGACATATAAAGCAACAGTGTGTAAGATTTAGGGAGATTTAGTGGCATCTTGCAGTGAGGATTTCAGATCGCAACCAGCTGAAACTTTCCCAATTAGAATGCCTTCAGTGTTCATTGTTCAGAAGGTTTTAACCAGGAGCCAAATTATCTGCCTTAGTTGTCTGACTTAGTTAAAGGAATAGTGTGAAGGATTTAGTGGCATCTAGCAGTGACGATCACAGACTGAACCAGCTGAAACTTTCTCCATGTGTCATGCGTAAACTCCCAGTTAGTAATCCTTCAGTGTTAATTTTCCAGGTTTTTACCAGGAGCCAAATTATCTATATGTCTTTTCCTCTCCAAAACAAATGGTTCATGTAGTTAAAATTGATACTAACACTGAATAAAGCATTTTCACGTTACAGATCTATGTTTCTCGTAGTCTTTGTGGCTCGCCACAGATGGTCTGCTAACCTAGCGACTGCTAATGTGTGCTCATATTTTTCCTGATGACGTACAATCCAGACTTTTAGGGGGTTTTAACCAGGAGCCAAATTAACCACAGAGGTCTCATCCTCTCCAAAACAAACAGACCTGGTTATTTAAACTGGTAAAAACACAGAATAAAGAAGTTTAATGCTAAAAAAATCAGTGTTTTTCCAACACTGTTGGTGCTGCTAACAATAGTGGCCGACACGAAAACGTCAATGGCACTATCTAGAGCCAGTGTTTGGTGTGTCCGTTCTGGGCTACTGTAGAAACATACTGGTGCAACATGGCAATCTCCATGGACAAAGACCTGCACCCTGTGTAGATATAAACATCTCATTCAAAGGTTACAAAAAAGGTTTCTCATTTTCAGGTGATCACACACTAAAGAAAACATATCTAGTATATTATATTTTATGTTTATTTCTTATTATATTTTTCCATATATCCCCCTAAATCCTACACACTGGACCTTTAATGACAGCAGTCAAACACTGATACAGATTGGTGTCATGCTAAGGTCATGTCAGCCTAATGCTTAACCCTTCAAATGAAGTGTTGCCAGATAATATTCCACATTGATCTCAGCATCCACAATGACGTTTTTCACTTAATTTTCCCATTAAATCATTCCTTTCTATTGATTTCATGATCATCTTGCAGGGACATGAAACACACAATACTTTACTACAGTGAACATTTTACTGCCTACATTTTTTTTTATCACAGAGAGCATCTCTGATTACCAAGAAAAAAAGTTTTCAGAATTGTTCCAGCGTCAACCTAGCTTCAGTTTGACTAAGACGGAAAAATAAATCTAATGTCTACTGTGACGGTTTACTTTATGGGGCAAGCAAAAAAGTCCCTGCAAGTTGATTTCTGTGCCGAGTTGACGTCAATGAAACAAATGGTTGCAGTGATTGTAGGAAAAATACAGTGATGTGTTTTTGAATGCTTACATGCGTAGCTGACAATGTGCTGCTGTGAGCACAAAGTTCTGCCTCACCAGGGCTCCCCCACAGATGTGGCGACCTCGGATTTGCAGCGAGGCCATGTAGGGGCGCGATTGTGGGGCAGCATCTCTGCCTCCGACAATATAAGTCCCATCAGCTCCTGAAACACAATGCCATCATTCATTATTTGCTTATTTTTATCCAATGCAGATGTGTATGTCTTTACTTTGTATAGATAGCTTACCACTGAGGACAAAGAGGAGCAGTAGTATGGTGATGGCTGCCATGGTCTCTGGTCAAACAAATCCACACCTTCCACTCAAGGTCTTTTAGAGAAGAAACTATCTTGCTTATTTTGTGGTCTTTATTGCTTCAGTGTATTTGCTAACAGGCTGTTCAACTTTTAGTGAAGTTGTTGGTGGGATTACAAGAAGTTTTACAAAATGTGCGGTTGCAGATTTTCAAAACAGGGTTTCATAATTCATAATTGATGCAAGCATGGCGTGGTGTTAGAGTTATAGCGGCTTTAGAGATACACTCTTATAGGGCAAAGGTAAACATGTTTGGATAAATGGGAGTCCACATTGTCTTAAAAACACATTATTAAAGGCAAAAAGAAAAAAAGTGCAACATGTTTGTGGGTGTGTACTTCGTAGAAAGTTGTGGTTCAGTGTTCCTTCTTAGATTTAAATCTTGTATTTGCAGAGTTACTTCACTTTCCTCTTTTATCATTGCATCATGTTTGTGTGAAAAGCGTGCTGCAGAAAGAATGCGGTTTTGTGTAATGCAACGTACTGCAGACACGAGTTCTGCTCTAGCATGCAACTGAGTTTCTCCACTGTGTGGGTTTGAAAGTGTCATTTAAAAACTGTTTTAAATGTTCATTTTTAGACGTTAGTAACACTACTCTCAACTGAACACTAAAGTAATAAGCTTTGCATTTGTAAATTACCTTAAATATAATTTTATATCTCCTGATGAAGAATATTAACACAAGAAAAACAAAATAAATTCAATACAGTGTTTTAGATATTATGTGGGCTTTATTTGGATGAACTTAATAAGTAAAACACAGATCTTGCACCAAGGCTTTTTTGTGTGCCGCCCGAACAAACACTTCTTCGAACTGTGTGACAAACAAGCTGCCCACAGCTTTCAACCTCAGATCTGAGTGCAGATGTTCAGACACCACACAACTGAAGTGTCATCAAATCTGATATATAATCTAGATACTGTGGAACAAAGTTACGGTAATTGGGCTGACCTTTGCCCCCTTTACGCCTGCAGTGCCCCTTGGATTAAATAAATACACAAGTGTTTGTTTTTATAGTATTACTGGATGGCTACTACCATTTACAACTTCTTTTTATTTTGCCTGAATGAATGAATCATTACTCTTTCGCTGAGGTTTTTTATTTATTTAAACTTTAAATTACCAGGAAATAGTCTAGTCCCATTGAGATTCAGAATCTCTTTTGCAAGGGAGTCCTGGCCAAGACAGCAGCATAATAGTTCCCCTAAAAACACAACAGGTTAAAACAGACAACATGAAACAAACAGTTACAAAACAGTTGGCAATTCACTTCAAGACAGTATAATCACCAGCAGCGCTCAGTAACAGGACATGTGCATTCAGTACTCAAATAGTCCTTAATCCTACTTTTAAAATGTTCCATACTTGGCAGGTAATCCATTTTACAATGTCTCTGTAACTCACACCAGGACGAGGATGTGAATACTTTAAAGGCACTTTCACCAAAGACAGGTCGTGTTCGAGGAACGACGTACATAATTTGCCCATCTGACCGAAGATTACAGCTCCTGGCGACTTTAGGAATCAATAGAGAACATAAATAAGAAGGCAAATCACACAATATGGCCTTATAAAGAAAAATGTACCAATGTTCCAATCTACTATTGTGCAAAGAAGGCCAACCAACACTCTCATACAAGCTGCAGTGATGAGTACGAAAACCAGAATCAGTTACAAATCTTAATGCTGCATGATACATTGAATCCAGCATTTTCAGAGAAGATAAATTTGCATGCATTTATAAAATGTCACCGTAGTCAAGTATTGATAGAAATGTTGCTTGTATAAGTCTTTTTCTCGCACTAAAGGAGAAACAACATTTGTTTCTGAAATAGAAACCCAACTTTACCCTGAGTTTTTTCGTAAGACACTCAAAGTGATGTTTAAAAGACAAATTTTCTTCTAAGAAAAATCCCAGATATTTGTAGACTGATACTCGTTCAATCACTTTGTCATTTAGCGTAACAATCTGACAAACATCATCATCTGTATTCTTTGACTTCGAAAAGCACATCACTTTAATTTTGTCAGAATTGAGTACGAGTCTCAATTTATAATGATTTTTCTGAACGATATTAAAGTCAGATTGCAGATGTTTTATGGCATTTGCTAATGATGAAGTAGAACTATACAAAATGGTGTCATCCGCATAAAAATGAAACTTTGCGTCAGTTACATTTTGACACAAGATATTTATATAAATAGTAAATAAAATGGGACCCAATATGGACTCCTGGGGGACACCGGTTACATGGTTAATAAGACCTTGAGCTATATGATAAATTAAGTAATGATGAGGTTATGATTATGACTTTAAAGGAGTTGAAACAGCTTTGGTTCTTCTCCTGTTTCCCTGTTTTCAACACACTGCTTCTGTAATACTCTCACTTTCTGAAATAAAGTCTCCCAATATGAGCAGCCTCGCTGACCTGCTTGACCAAACTTAATGAATATCTGCCAACAACGACCGTCGCCATGGAGTCAACATTGGGCGGGAACAAATCTGCCAGGGAGTCCCCACACACCACAAAAGAATTAAAAATTTGAAAACTCATTTCCAACTATATTATATTATTTATCATAACCAAACACAGCTATAAAGTATTCTAAGCTAATAATGTCCACGTAAATTACACATGCTCTGACTGACACATCACTATCTGACAAATAGAGCGTGATAAATACCATTTACATCTTCTGATAAAAAAAAAGAGAAAACAACGATATTTAAGACATTTTTTTATTTTGCCTTTCCAATAAAGAGCAAACACTGACAGAGCGACTCAGACACAACTACTCCTCCAAAATACAAATACAAAGATGCTGAAGCAAAGCTGTGTGTAAGATTGTTATTTTTTTCAATCTTTCCAATTCTTGCAAACTTTGTTGATCCATGGGAGGAACTTTGAGATGTCCGTATAGATGCTGGGTTCATTTGTGTTGATGCAGTTGCCACATTCGTTATAAGACGCCACACCCACAGCCTTCCCGTCACACACCAGTGGACCACCAAAATCCCCCTGTGAGCAGGAAATATCTTCATTTACTCATTCACCATGATGTCAATACTTTTTTGGACTAGAAACTACAATTTTTCGATATAACAGGAGAGAGAACATACCTTACAAAGAGTTCGCTTTGTGCTATATCCACCTGCACAGATAACATCTGCAGAAAGACCAGGCCATTTCTTCTTACAGTCTTGCAGGTTAATGATAGACACATTGGCCACTTTCAGATCATCTACAGTGTTATCACCAGGTGTAGTGCAACCCCATCCAGCTACACTGCACTTTTTGTTTGCTTCTACCTTAATATCAGCCAATGCAATTGTTTTTACATCAACATTCATTCCCTCCTCCCCCGCCACCTGGAGACACAAAGAATCACAAAGTAATAATCAATATCTGACTGTCTGTCAGAACATGGGTTTACTCCTCATCAGACCACCAGATTAAAATAATGTGACTGTAAAAATACAAGATGTCATTTGGACTGCTAGGTTGAATAAATGTACTTACTTGTAGGAGCATGATGTCATTTCCTTTTGTAAAATCCTCATAAGAGGGGTGTTTGCACTTCTTCTTGATGTATTTCACTGTTTTTATAGCTGCATCAGTTTTGTGGGTGCTCAGAACAACTTTAGCTTTTTCCAGATGCCTGAGAAATCTAAAATAAGATGTTGTCAGTGGATTTTCTCAAATTGTGCCACAAAAAAAAAAACAAAACACACACACACACAAAGCAACAAATGATACATGTCTTTTATAAACAGTGGGTTTGTATGATATTAATTGTTTTTTTATTTGAATTCTGATGACATCAAATGAAAACAATGATTGCTGGAGGAAGAACTGTGACTCACACATCACAGCGTGCAGCGGTGACCACAGTGTCTTCACTGATGCGGAATCCTCCACACACATGTTGTCCATTTTTCTGTATTGAGGCCATATACAGCGTTGAGTTCTCCGGGGCTTTTTCTCCACCTATAATTCCACTCCCAGATACTAAAAACATGACAGTTAAAATAAAATGAGTTCAAATTAGTTTCGTATTTCATATTTCAGAGAGGAAAAAAAAAAAAAGTAGTCAGATTGTGCAACTTACGGTTTTGTCCGAGACAAGCCAGAACATTAAACAGCAGGAACTTGTGCAGACTCTGCATCGTGGCGACAGGATTCTCAACCTGTTGTGTTGGGGGTTTCAGGCCACCCTCTTTATATAGCAGAGTTTGATCTGTACAATTTGATTTCGATCTGTTTTATCTTGACTCACAGCCACATCCTATGGCCGTGTGACATTTGCAAAGCACATACAGCATGTAATGAGTACGTGATAACGTCAGCTACATTTAGAAAAAGGTTTAGGTTTAGAAAAAAAATCATCATCACTTGGCTTAAAATGAGTATGGTTGTTACTAATGTAATGTAATGACTCGTGACATACTGGTACGTTACCAGGATAGCACTCTACACATACTAGCACACTGCATTTTTATTAAAATAACTCAACTGACTTGGTCTCACACGTGACACGGACAGCGGGCTCCCGGCTGAAAGTTTGTTTGGTCCATACTCCTCCCCTCCCACCTGCCGTATGCAGACTTTCCCACTCTTCATACCACTGCCTCTAAAGGGTGTCTTTGGCCCAATCCCAAACCACTCCCTACCCACTACCACTTCACTACCGAGTGTCACTCCAAATCAAGTTACACTCGCAGCTGTGGAGGGCACTCCTGATTAAGGGGAAGTGTATCAAAGAGAAGCCAAACCATGGGACGCCCTTGCCACTCTACCGGAAGAAGGAAGCAGATGTAACCATGGATACAGACAGATGCTTTGTGAAAGCAAAATAGAGCAATGGGCTATTAAAAAAAAACATTTAA